AAGGAAACAAAACCACTCACAACTGGATCAATAGACAACATTATTATAAACAAGAAAAAGACTGAAATTGTCAAGAATTTCATTTTGCTTGTATTCGCAATCAATAGGGAAATAGCAGTCAAGAGGTCAAATAAGGGATTGCATTGGACAAATCTGCAGCACAGGACCCCTTTACAGCGTTGAAGAGCAAGGGTGTCACGGCATTTTCAATCGTCTCATGTCCATGCAGAAATTGGGCAGTGACTAAGGAAGATTGCAGAAGAGTTAACACATTGGAACTATAGCACTGGCAAAGTGTATTCAAAGCACCGTGCACTGCAGAAAAGCAAACAAATCTGTCTTGCAGGCCAGCATGCTTTTTAGAAGATAGGATGATGAGACTTTGTCTTATGTACTTTGGAACATTTTTCCAAGTGAGACAAGTCCCTGGAAAAGGGAATCTCATCAAAATAGAGGAAAACCTCTCGGGGAGGAGACAAGCCAGTCAGGGTGCGATGTAGCAATGATGAAGCATACAACTTTCCTCTAGTTCCTAAATGCTTCCTCCCCCGCTCTCCCTCACTATCATGATCTGAATTCTACCTTACAAATCTGGCTAGACCAGAGGATGTACACTGGTACAGATAGGAACTGGAAATACAGGGAATCCAGGGCGGATGATCCCTACAGGACCAGTGGTGTGAGTGGTAATACTGGGAGGGGAGAGGGTGGGTGGGTTGGAAAGGGGGAACCTATTACAAGGATCTACATGTGACCTCCTCCCTGGGGGATGGACAAAAGAAAAGTGGATGAAGGGAAACGTCGGACAAGGTAAGAAATGACAAAATAATAATTTATAAATTATCAAGGGCTCATGAGGGAAGGGGGAGCGGGGAGCGAGGGGTAAAAATGAGGACCTGATGCCAGGGCCTTAAGTGGAGAGCAAATGTTTTGAGAATGATGAGGGCAATGAATGAACAAATGCACTTTACACAATTGATGTATGTATGGATTGTGATAAGAGTTGTATGAGCCCCTAATAAAACGATTAAAAAAAGAAAAAAAAGGGAAAAAAGAGGAAGACCCTCAAGGAGATGGCTTTACACAGTAGCTGGAACAATGTGCTCACCCATAACAATGGTGATGACGGTGCAGGACCAGTCAGCGTCTCATGTTGTGCACATGAGGGACAGAGGAGTTGGAGCAGATGCAAAGGCTCCTAACCACTGTCATTCTAGTAGACAGGAAGTGGTATCCCACTGTGGTTTTGATCTGCAAACCCTAATAACTAATGAGGAGCTCCAGTGGAGTAGTGGATTATGCATAGGGCTTGCAACTACAAGGTCAGCAGTTCAAACCCAGCAGCCACTCCAGGGAGAAAAAGATGAGGATTTCTGCTCCCATAAAGTTTACATGCTCAGAATCCTGCAGGAGCAGTTTTATTCTGTCTTAGAGGGGTACTATGAGTCAGAATCAATTCGAAGTGAGTTTTAGTGTTATTGCAATGATTCAAGACATTGTTCACCTTATCATGTGCTAAGTGACCATTTGTAATAATTAATTCAAAATCTATTTTATTTCACTTTATCTCATGTATTTAACTTAAGTAATGATAACCAAATTTCCAAATAAATGCCAGCATTTTCATTCCATATCATTTATCATGCAAATCAAGGAGACAAAATATAAATAAGACTGGGTGAATATAACTTAATTATTATTAAGATTAATACCTGGAGTGTCTTTCTGTCTCTATACTACATTCCTAAACTGTAATTAAAATCTCCTGTGCTGTTATTCTTTGGCCTCTCTGAGTTAGATATATCTGACTTACATGTATATAAGTACCTGGCTGATCAATAATCTAACCTCAATGTATACAAATTCTTTGTCTTGTGAGTCCCTCATATTGATACCAAAGAGTAGTTAATCGGTTGCTGTCAAGTAGATTCAGACTCAAGGCAATTCCATGTGGTCCTAGTAGAAATGTGTTTTGTAAGATTTTCAAAGACTGATGTTTTTGTTTGTTTGTTTGTTTGTTTTTAAATCATTTTATTAGGAGCTCATACAACTCTTATCACAATCCATACATACATCAATGTGTAAAGCATATTTATACATTCATTGCCCTCATCATTCTCAAAACATTTGCTCTCCACTTAAATCCCCAGCATTTGGTCCTCATTTTTCTCCCCCCTCCCTCACGAGCCCTTGATAATTTATAAATTATTATTTTGTCTTTAAAGAAGATTACTAGACCTTCTTCCAAGGCGCCACAAGGTAGACTTGAGCCTCCAGTCTTTTGGTTAACAATTGAGTGTTTTCAATGGTTTTCACTGCTTGAGGACAAACCATGGCTTTCTCCCACACACAAAAAATATTGAACTCTAAAAACACACGCAAAAATATTCATTGATCTGGAGTGGTTTCCAACTCACAGTGACCCCGTAGGACAAGCTAGAACTGCCTTTGTGGGTTTCTAAGACTGGAACTCTTTATGGGAGTAGAAATCCTCATCTTTCCCCCAAGGAGTGCCTGGTGGTTTTAAACCTTATGGTTAGTCACCCAGCTCATAACCACTGTGCCACAAGGGTAGATACGGTTCCTAAACTGACGTTACCACCTAGCAATTGAAAAGAATTGAAAAGCATCTTCATTCACCTTTGTGATCTGTATGCCTCTGTGTGTCAGTGTATACTTCATCACCTGAAACCTCCCGGTTTGTAGTACTAGAAGACGGTTCCCTTCTTAACACAAGATGAGCTATCAGGAAAGTATGCTTTTTGTTTGAAGAGACAAATGAAGCATTTGAGAGTCACTGGATTTTACATGTGGAATAAAGAGTTCTTGTTGGATTTTGGTTACTGGTTATTTCACCAATATAACTTATTGGCATACAAAAAAAGTAAAATATACTGTAGGTTTTCCTAAATAGATTTTCTCATTTTCTGTTCCTTGATAATTAATCAAATATTCAACACATTTCTAAAGACTTGAGTGAGAATTTTGAAAAGCTGAGATGAAGTAAAATGTTTATTGTAAAATATGACAAAGCAGTTTGAACAATTGATCATTCATCATTTTTAAAAAGAAAGAAGATGAATGTTCTTCAATGGATATACAATGGCTCCTCGTTACTTTCATGGTACTCTTGAGAAGCAGGTAGGACCCCAAGTGGAGGTATTAGGTAGTGCCTTCCAACAAAGGGGACTCATCTTCCAGCACTATATAAGAAAATATAAAAAGCAAAACTGGAATTGTACTGGGCAGAGTGGAGCTCTCGTAGTACACATTTTTCCCACTAGGTGAGCATTGAGCAATACACTATGTTAGTTGCACCCAGTGGCGTCACCTGGGGAGGTTCTCTCTGGTCACAGTAAATTTTTTCATAAAAGCAGGTTTGCTCAAACCTTGTTTTTTGTGATGATTAATTTAAGAGAACAGTGTGCGGCTGTGAATTTTGTTTCCTGCTCAGGAAAGGTGCCACAGAAACTGTTGTGATGTTGAACACAGCTTACAAGGATCGTTCTATGGAAAACACCCAAGTGTATAAGTGGTTTTATCATTTCAAAAAAGGTGAAATGTCGAGTGATGACAAACCTCATTCTGGATGTCTGTCAACTTCCTGAACAAATGAAAATGTTGACTTGCAGTGCATTTGACCACCAGGTCAGATTGTTAGTCAGGCTTTCTATTTAGAAATTCTGAAAAGATAGCATAACAGTGTGTGACGACAAAAGCCTGATAAGTGGCAGATCGGGGACTGGGTTTTGCCACCACGACAATTCACCTGCTCATGCAGCCATCTCAGTGCGCCAGTTTGGGGCAAAAAACAGCATGCCTCTCTTGCTCTATGCACTTTACTCTCCTGACCTCATTCTGTGAAACTTCTTTTTGTTTCCGTGAATGAAGAGGGGCATGAAAGAACAGTGATTTGACAACTTAGAAGAGGTGAAGAAAAAAATGATGGAGGTGCTATCAGCCATCCAAACAGATGAGTTTGAAAAAGGTTTCCAAGAATGGAAATGCAGATTTTACAAATGTATTAAGTGTAATGGAGAGTAATTTGAAGGTGATAAGGTTGTTTTATAAAAAAAAAAAAATTAAGAAAGAAAATCCGGGGTTTTTTGGGTAGACCCCCCATATACAGCAACATTCTCTTGTGCGCCATAAAGTTTTCATTGACTAATTTCTGGAAATAGGTTGTCAGAAATAAATTTCTTCCTCGTCTGCCTTAAATTAGAAGGTCCTCCAGAGGTGGCCCTGCTAGTACTTGGAACACTCGTGGCATAGCCCCCAGCATTGTAGACAAATGCAAGCCACCACAGTGCAACAAACCAGTAAGCCATATTCTTGTTTTGACTACCGTCGGGTCAACGCCGACTCACAGCGACCCCATGTGGCAAACAGAGATGTCCCTTAGGGTTTTCCAGGCTTTCATCTCTGTGGAATGACATCACCACAGGGCTTTCACTCCCGGAGAGGATGGGTTTGAGGACACTGAGCTGTTGTGCCACCAGGGCTCCTGTGGGCCCCATGGAAACGGACTTATTACTGTTCTTCGGGTAAAAAGAAGAGGTCTACAGTGTGTGTGTGTTTCATCTGTCATTCACTGAAATAGGCACACTCTTTGCCAGCATTCAGCTAAAAGACAAATGGTCTTTCTTACTTCTGGCATGAGGAATTTTCTTTTCTTGGATGCGCTCTGAGCTTCCCTTGAAAGGTCCTGTCCCAGTTGCCTGGTCCCGTGGTTTGGATTTGTTTCTCCATTTGTAGCATTCAGTGTGAGCCTGTTGTCTTCAAGAGCTGATGTATTAGTTTTAAGATTGAGATGGGGGTGGGGCATCAGGGAGACCAGTATAATCATAGAGCAATGAGAACTAGATAATATACTACATGGTCAGTCAAAAATTTTACTGTTTTTGAAATGCAGAGACAGGTTTGTTTGATTTCTGAGGTAAGAGACAAATGATGGCAAATATTTTTGAAAGGTAAATACCACTATTTCCTCTTTTTTTTAGTGACCAGGTGATAAGACTTATTCCCAAAACAGAAGAGGAAGCATATGCACTGAAGAAAATATACCACCAATTTAGGGTAAGAGAGCATCTACTTTCTTATAATGGTGCATGATGCTTGTACAAGGCTTTATCGTCTGAAGTTGATTAATTGGAATTATCTGAAAGCATGAAAGTCTAATAGATAAAGTGAAAGAATGTTTAAAGGACAGTTACATTAAATTTGCATTTATACATATAAATATATAGATAATAGGACACATTATATACGTACTAATGCATTAGTTTATTATCCATCTCCATGAATTAAGAACTCATCTATTTTTGTTTACCACTGTATTTGCAATATGTGTCTGGCATTTCCCAGAAGCTCCATAAATACTTAGATTTTATTGTTGTGGATGTTGTTGTTCTTAAATGAATGAATGGGTTTAGCTTATAATTTTCCAGAGCTTCATTTTACTCCTTGAAAATCCTGCTGCTGAATATTTCTTTCTAATTAAAGTTCAAGAAGAAGTGAGTTGAGAAAATTAAAAACTAGAAATCCAAGTTAATTAATTTTACAATGTTTCAGTGGGTCTGATCAGAGAGTTTGTTGGCAAAAGATGCAAGACGTTGATTACCCATCGTTGATTTTTATGGATGTTCCTGTTAGAGAAGTTCTATTGGCTCATTACTGATATAATGGAGTTTTGCTTTGCTGAAAAGTTTTGATGACAAGTGTGATGATTGGCTCATTTCCATGCTTAGTGAGAATAGAAAAAGCTCATACAAGATGTGCCAGCTTGGCTTCATTTTAAAGATAGCAAAGCACATTACCGGGGGACCTCATTCATCTTTAATATTGGGAAGAAAAAGATTTGTCCCAGGTGACTGAAGCACAGTCCTGTCTGAAAAGAGAGTCTTAGGGGTTAGAGGAAGAGGGATGGACTTCATGGTTTTTGAAATATGTGGAATTTAAAACTTTTGGTCTCAGTTCTAGTTTTATTTTTATTGTCATTTTTGTTTCAAGTATTCAATTTATTGGCAATACCATTCCAAAAGGCTAGTTTACTGATGCCTTTTCTTCACCCCTGTCCCAGCTGGCATAGATAGACACAGTGCCCGTGGGAGCTCGAGTGTACCCTGGAGGGACGCTGTGCAAGCTCCTTCATTCAATGCTAAATCTGTTGTCATGTTACCCAGACCAGGAGTACTGGGCATGCCTGTGCTGTTGCTGCTTCTCCAAGGAGCCCTCGTTCAACAGTCGTGACATTAACTATTTGTTAGTTGTGTGTGCTCCTCAACCCCAGGTTAGCCTTTTCTATCATTGTTCTCTGACAGCTCTCTACACACTTTGACCCCCGCTTTCTCGGAGGTTGCAATTAAAACAGTAAGTGCTTAAAGAAAAACATTCCTGCATATGGTTTGCATGCAGCACTTAAAGAAAGGTAGTAAATGAGGAAGGGGTGGTTTGAATGTTAAGGAGCTCGGGATAACTAAGAAAAGGGAGTAGGCCAGTGATGTTGAGGAGAAAGGGGAGCAGAGGGGTGAGAGAGGAGGCGAATGTTGGATTACTGGTGATGTGTCAGTGGTGCTGTTTTCAGAGTATCTAATCTAGCTAGGCCCCTCTAAGTCACTAACATCAATTACAGGGCTCAGCACTTTCCACGGAAGCTTGCTTCCTCTTCACAACCCCCTGGGGTGAGTATTGGTCCTCCCATGTTTCACAGATGAAGGGCTTGAAATTGACTGAATTTAGGTAACTTCCCCCAGATCAGAAGGTGAGGTTGGCACACTAATCTGGACAGTGCCAGACTCTTTTGCACCCCAGTGAGACCCTCCTTATGTCTTTATTCATGAGCTCTGAGTCTCCTCATGATCAAGAGGATTATGGTCCAGGGTGCGGAGCATTGGAGTCTAACACAGAATGTGAAAATGATTGCAGTCTTGGTTCTTTTATTCTTTTTGTCAAGGTCAACATGACCACTCCCAGGTTTGATGGCTTGCAAGGACTCATGGGACTCAGCACATAGTGCTCATGGTTATGTCTTATTACAACAATGGGGTAGACTGCAAAATCAGCCAAGGAAAAGGTACCGGGGTGAAATGAATACCAGACTAATGCTCCCAAGATCCCACTGGCAGTAGAATTGCACAAGACTCACTTAACTTCTTAGCAATGTGTATGTAACATAGACTATTGTGGAAGCTCATTAGACACTCAGGGCTTAGGTTGTTACTGGGGACCAGGCTATAGGTGCCTATAGCTGTCACTGTTGTTAGTTGCTTTCAAGTCAGCTCTGACCCCTGGCGTCTTTAAGTATA